CTACCTTCTGGTCTTTCGAGTAAAGCATCACGTTCGAGCTGTGAATAGGAGCTTCAATCTGAAAGCACAACACAAGAACAATTACTTTCACACAAGAACTAGTTAATTTAAGTAAGTTACTTGGACTCTCCTAAAATGCACGCACCTTTCAGCATTTTTGAAGAGTCCGAGCAACATAGCCCATAACAAAAGAGAGACTAAAGATTAACTTTCGGGCAAAGTGGAAACAGTTAGAAGGAAAGAAATCGAAAAAAACCTTGACGATTTGGCCCGGTTCATCCTCACTCCTACTCTTCACATGCTTGGTTTTCAAGTTTATCTCTCTTATGACAACTTTGCTATTGTGCTTGATAATCTCAGTGATCTCTCCAACCTTATCTTTGTCGTGGCCAGATATGACTTTTACTGTATCTCCAAGTTTCACGTGCATTTTGTGTAGCACAGGAAGGCTGTTTGGCTTACACTTTTTCCGTTCCCATCGCTTGAGCTGCAGAAGCAATGAAAATGAAGACCCTTTTTACACAGAACAAATTCCCCTGGCACGGAAAATGGAAGTCGAACTACTAGATACTATATTTACCTTGAAAGTGACATGGAATGTTCATAACAGAGTAACATTAAACATTTTTGGGTTATAAGAATATTCATCACCTGACGGAAGGTAAAAAGACCAGAAACGGATCAAAAGATACCAACCTTGGCTACAATGGATCCTGGAGTTTGTGTTGATTTGACCTGCAAATTCAGCATCACTTGAAAACTGTCATAATTGAACAAGCAAAAAATCTTGTTGCAGCTTGACGCATGAACAAAAAAAGGTCATGTAAACAATATACGAAAAGATGGCTAGTAAGCAATTGCAACAAGGAGCATTAACCTATTAACAACAAGTCCGTATTACAACGAAGATATTCAGTAGTCTATATTTTGCTTCAATTGCTGATGGTGTTTACTAGTTTCAGTTAAGAACTTACTATTATGTACATTCTGGACTATTGACTTCCACATAGAAGTTGTTCTCTTCAAATAAAAAGTTCTTCTCTTAAGAGAGGCGTTTTCTTCACTTAGAAAAGTGTTCCTTCTCTTCAACAACACGTTCAGATTTATTAATATGATCATACACGTAAGTAGTAATGCAACTTTATCAGCACCTCCGCAATATTGCATATGGGCTCAAGAGAAGCTGTTTGTTACCAACTATAAGGATAACACAGCCTGTTCTGTTCAAGTATCTACCAGCAATTTTCTGAATTTCAGGAGGCAAACCAGAAAGCTGAAGAATGTTACATCTTCTAGCACAAAAAGTACGTAATGATAGAACAGTCAACTCATGCCTAATATATCAATATTTGAAGACGAAAGAAGAGGATTAATCATAGGGAAGTAAAATCGAAACAAAGACAGTTCATTCTGAAACTCGCAAAACAAAAGCATCAGAACATATAGATCGAACTACATTAAAAGTAATCCGTGAAACTATCACTAACCCCAGGTAAGATGTGGTGTGGCAGGCGTACCGCCCTCAACGAACCATACATTAATTGACCAATTTAAAATACACACACTAAGTTCATACCCACTATCACATAGTAGTTACAAGTGTAGTGATAATTCATTCACACCCATTGACTAAACAATCTTGCATCTTGCTCTGTAGTAATCTCTTCCATAGCCTAGTTGAAAAAGAGAATTTCCGATGTTCAAAGGTATAGTCCCCACAACAATGTCTGGTAAACTACTCGGGGCTCCCCATGGGTTAGTAAATCTGTTTGGCTATTACAGAATACATTTTCCTAGAGGAAATGTTTTCAGTTGTCTCCTTACCGTAAAATCTCGTAGGACTAATATTTTCCTCAAGTAAAATCATTCACAGAGAAATGAGGACAGAGCTTATATCACACATGGGCGGAAGTCATAATCTTTTATACAAACACACATATTATATAATGGAGAAATCTGCTATTTTCAGCTTCGAAGCTCAACGAGTAATGCATCTGTCTCTCTACCTTTCTCTACTTAAATTCATCACTCAGAATTGAACCCATGACACGTACCTACCTTACATCGTGCTGTACTTACTTTGTGATTGAACCACCGCCATTGGGATCATTTTCCTTCTATAAAATTTTCAAAACTTAATTAACACTTGGAAACCCAATCTACATATACTATCCTATAACATGTAAACATAAGTATATGTCACCTATACTTTTATACCCCAAACACTCTAAAACTTCCTCCATCCATACTAAATGCACCCTTAGAGTTTAGAGTTTTTGCCACGGTGCCACCCGAGGCCTCTTCAGTCATCAAGTGAGTATCCGAGCCAACTTGCACACAACTCCACTAATTTCCCCTTTGTCGGAAATTTACACTGTGTAGCTAGGTAAAAAAAGTAAATGTATATACTATATTGACTCCCCTTGGCTTCTTTATGACTTTACTACTCCTCATACTGAAAATCTTGACTACTCTAGTGCTAATTCCACGGGATACCTGCATACTCACACCAACAAGGTGTGGACATATATCAAGAAATCATTGCCTTTGCTATAATTTGAACGTAAGACCTCATGATTCTTGACCCATTTTATTGACAAGTAGGCCACACACTTAAGTGCATTATACAAAGTCTTAATCAAAATTAAGCAAACATTTACAAATGTTAAACAAAATTAAAAGAAATATTTGCTAGTAAACTATCAATAAACAACATTAATTGAAGAAAAGAAAGGATTTTTGAAAGAGTAGTGAAGTAAAGAAGAGTACCAGAGGTGAGCAGAGAGGAAGAGGAGAAAAGGGTTGGCCCAAAAATGAGTTGGAAGAGATGGAAAGAGAAGTAAATGAGCTCTGAAGAGCTGCCATTGCCACCATTTCTTCAAATCTTTCAACAACAAAAAAAAGCTTTTAGGTAATCAAGAAGAAGGGAATTTTGGATAGAGTTGGAAGCAACAATTTTATTGGATTGGACCTTAAACGGGTTGACCCGGCCCAAAAATATTCTTCCTTTTTTGGGAAATGGGCAAAATTTTCTTTTATTTAGTAGTATAATTTTTTTATTGAAAATTTTGATGATAACAACAACAACATATTCGGAGTAGTTACTTCTACTTCGTAAAGGTTGAGAGATTGTTTCTATTAGATTCTCAACTTCTTTTAAAAAAATTGACGAATAGTTTTTTCATACAACTCATTAAAATTCATTTAGATAAAAATATCTCGAGAAGAAATGCGGAAAATTCTGCCATGATGCATTTTTAACGGAGGGTGTTTTTGTCTAAATGTATTTTTCGCATTGAAAATGATAATTTTGAACTACATTCGTTATAAAAAAACTATCTCACATAATTTTACGTGAATTTCATGGTATTGAGTTTGTGATATTGTTACAATTCATTTGATTAAGAGGTATGCAATTAATTATTTGTAATTTGAATTAAAGTTATTGGGTAAATCCATAATTGACATCTTATAAATGTCTCTGACGGTCCAACTTGCATGAATTTTGATAATTTCATTGAGTATCTATTATCTTCCACCAACATAAATATCAAATAACCATGTCCAAGTATATATAATTCTTCCATCAATCCACATATGAAGTCACATTTTAAGGGTAAAAGCTAAGTACATGATTACGCAGGGTATGTTTTTTGGTATTATCTTTCACAAGTCATAAGTGCAACGACATAGCTAAGTGAAAACAAAGGGTTCATTAAAAAAAATTGAAAGCAAAGGGTCTATTATTAGTCTGAGCTTCTCATCGCCTTCTATCTATCTCTGTATTTCCTGATCTTCTTCCCCTTCAGTTAACATTCTCAGTTTCATTTTTAGGATTGTTAGTTGTTAATTGCTTGTTGTTTTCATTTCTTAATTTAGCTTGAGTTGTTAATTAACTGATGAACAAAACAACTCAATCGGGTGCACCATATTCTTTGTAGTCACAACCCACTACTTATTAAACAAATATATTCTCAATAAGGTTTAGGGATAAGGGTTTGAAAAATACCCCAATTTTGGTCGAATTTGCTGTTGCGATACTAAACTTTCATGAGGACCTATTACCTCCCTAGACTATTTAATACCGTATTTT